GCTGCTTGCCAAGACGAAGTAGCTAGAAGGACGGGCGTAGGCGGCCGGGGCATGTGCACTCGTTGGCAGCGATGTGCCTTCACGCGATGATCGTCTGCGCGGGGGGAATCACGACTAGAAGCAGGCAACAGTTGTGAAAGGCTCGGCTGAGGCCTAAGTGGCACAGCTCTCCGCGTCTAGTTTCCATTATACATGCACTACAGCTTTCAATTTTCATGTCTTTAATTGCCTCAAAAGGGAACGTGCGAACCAGAGGTAATGTCCTCAAGGCAGGGTCGGCCTGACAGCCACTAAGTATATCTATCACGAGGTGTTAAGGCTACGAAGGTTAACGCTAACAGCTACGATCTTCCAGGCCCATGGTTCCTTTAGGTGAGGAGAGAAGTCTTGGGAAAGGCCAGAATAGTAGGAACAATATATTGTTTACAGAAGATTTAGGGGAAAGTTGCCACTCGGTCTTGCATGGCGTTCAACCGTGAGAGAGCCTGGCGCCGTCACGTCCGTCCCTCAGGGGACGGAATGCTAAGTGTGTTCTCATGGCAGTAATCCCGGGCGGTCACCGAATGCTGAAGCCTTGAAAATCATTGATTGGACGACGCGTGGGCGCATTAGCAGTTCGCGATTCAGTACGTCTGGCGGTAGCCACGGCCTTGAGGAATGTCCAAACGGATTGAGGTCACACCACTGTGGGTTGAGGCCAGAATGGGGGAGACATGGTGCATGCGTTTGGGCCCGCGTCAGTTGCGTCTGGCAGCAGTAATCACTACATATCCGAACGTGATTTCAATACTTTTATTGAATAAAATCATTGGATTTGCAGTTTTAAAGGCGCAAACAGTGGCGTTCGTTGTAGATATGGGGGGAAGGGGGGGGTCGGATAATCAGTGGGTCCACCAAGCTGATTGAACAGCTTCTGGTGGCTTTTGACTGTCGCGAACGATGATATTCACCGCAGCAAGGTGGGCGTAGGGATGGTGATCTGAACTTGAATCATTTCTAGGCAGAGCAGATTTGCGCAGTGTTTACACCACACTTTCTTCTCCCCCACCCGCCTGAGTTCAATTTCGTGACAGAGTCGGGAAGATTGGGGTGGCATCAGACGCACGGGCCAACTATCATGATCTGATCTGGAACTCACACCAACCGTATACTTGCTCGACTGCTATCCCAACTCCAACAAAGCAGAGAAAAAGGGCACGATCAACTACGAGAAAACATATTTGGAAACTGCAGGTCATTCTTACTTGCCGAGAAGCTGCCCGTATTTATTAGCATCCCGTTCGAGTTAGCTGTATTCTGTCTAGTCCGCTTCAAAAGAAGGTCCTAGAAGAGTCAAAAAACTTTTAGTAAATGTGAGCCGATCGGATCTGACGGGGACCGTGTAGTCACAGCCACTGCGGGAAACTATCAGGCGGATATGCATGACATGAAGCGTGGGAGACACGGGCCCGTGATTTTCTGAGAGATCGACTCCTCGGCGGAATGTGGATGTTCACAACGCTGATAAAGTTAAATAATCCGGCGACGCGTGCTACCCAAGCCTAGTCCGCGCACAATGGGCCAGCTTGGAATCCTCTCGCTTTTAGCGTCCCGTGATAGGTTCAAGCGCATCAACTTGTTTACATGGAGGAATTTGCGCTTAGGACTGTTGATGTCATTCTCTATCCCCTCCGTCAGGCATCAGTCAACTGTCCAAGTCGGTTTGATTGAGAGTTAACACGGTGAGTGACAGAACTAAACAGCCCATCTGCACGTGCCACTCGCAACCTGGCCCCCCAGTATACAAGCACACATACACAAAGGGGGTTGGCGGCTGGGAAACCCCATGCATTAGAGTGTCCTATAAACTACACAGGAAAGGAGCGAAAGAAAACGTTGCTGGTGTTGCTATCTCTGACGATGAACTCTTGTATGGGTTCGAAAGCTCAGAGAAATAAGCAAACTGCTCCGGTACTTGATCAGACTCCTCGTATATTCATGCAAGCGCCTGGAACGCGAACCCTCGCGCCGCATTCGCGCCGTGGGCGGCGATGCAGGACGCGTTTGCTTAAGTTGTATGTACTAGTCGGGAGATGTATGGTGAAGTAGTTTGACCGGTGGTGTTTTAGCGTAGGTTTTTGTGGATAGGCATACGGCCAAGTAGGCCCATGCGGTATCTGAATGTGCGTGGTCAGGGTGGGTGAATGCGACGGGTGTATCCTACTGCCCCTGGTATTGGTTCATCAGTCTTTGTGCAACGAATTCGCAAGTAACCGACCAGACCGTCGCGTGATGTGAGGGTCCGATGACAGTGTACAAGATAGATTAGGATGAATTCTACCTTTTGTTGTTTGGAACAATGATTGTGGTATGATGATGTCTGTCGGGGCGTCGGAACTGTTCTCAACGATGGTATTAGATCAGAGAGTTTGCGGAAGGTTTTGTATTGGGTACGGGGGCGTTGTAGGAGGTGCAGATGTAGTTGAGTTCGATTCGTGCACGAACTGCTTGTCGACAACAGGAACACAATGACGAGAGAAATTGGAAGGAGGCGTATTTGGTCGGTGGCGCTTGAGACTTGGGAGAAGCTCATGTGGCCTTAACAGTGGTGATAAGGTTGGCTTTAGACTCGGCCTACAGTTCAATAAGCATATTTGAGTCCAATTCCATCAGTTGCATTTAAATAAACGCAACAAATTCACAAAATTCGTAGGTTACTTTGGTTGTACGCATGCATACGACGAAACGAAATAGTCACACTCTCTACAGACGCAATAGTTGAGAGTCCGAACAGGTGTTTCAGCGAGTTTGTGCCACCGAGTGAAACCGCTGCCCAGGCAACGGCTACAGACTTAAATTGCGGCCTTTTAAATTTCATCAGAAAATAATGTACCCATTTCGAATGAAAGTCCCCAACTCAGGCCCTTCTGTGTACATTAAGATAGCGGGTAGAAATATCTAAGCCGAATTCTATTGCATCCATCATCGTATCCCTTAACAACCATCATAGTCAGCATCGGACAGATTGTATTACCATGCATGCATATGTATTAATTTTGACACATTAATGAAGCAGGTGATTATGTATTAAGTTATTATCTGCGTTGGAAGTACTGTAACTGAATACTAATGATACTACCGGTTAGTGATTCACGTTCCCTCCTGTAATCGCATCTGCAAAACGTTAATTCGATGAAGTCGAATATGCTTTTATTGAATGAATAAAACTAGAAACCAAGAATTTTAGGTCAGAAAGTGAACATTTATATAGTTGGTGGCTGAGCTCATGAAACGCTAACGATTAGGAAGGATTACTTAAATGGGCTTTTAATATCAAGCTCCCGCAGCATCATCCCATGATGTTTTAGATTATACAGCATGATTAGCAATAGAACAACCCCGCATAACTACCTGATGATAATTGTAAACGTCTTTCATGATTGTAGTCACACTTTTAGTAAACAGGTCAACGTTTGTAGATAATTACCGTGTACGGGAGTAAATTTCGAACTGTGAACTGGAATGTCTCCCTTCCCTTTTTTGTAATTTGAGGACTAAGCACAGCTGATACGATGTTTCACCTCCTTCATCTATACTTTAGGGGTTTGAGCGGAGGGATTCATCAAATGGAACGACTCCACCTGAAAAGCAAGCTGTTGTCGTTGTTCGTTCAGCACGACGCAGCGCAGGTGCAACCACTCTGCAGAGCCTCATCGACAGCATCATCCATCAAATTCACCACGCATATGACTCTGATCTGTGCGGAAACCCAAAACTGACCAGCATATGCGAATATGCAGAGTTAGTGCGAACAATGGGCAACTCGCTTCACTTGCCTTCTGCAGGTTCAAAACTGCTAATACTTATCGATGACCTGGATCTCCTCTATCCCTCTAGTCATGTGGAGCTGTTTCGCTGGATCCCACCCCAACTGCCCCGTTGCAAGGTGCGCTTCATAATGAGTACTAGCAGCCAGGCTATGGCCAATACCTTCAAGGCTCGATATGGTGAAGGTTCGTGCATAACCGTTGCCCGGGGACCCTCTTTCACGGCACTAAAGTCAGCAGTCCTCCCGTCGCCAATAAACCTAACAGTTCAGTCTGCGGTGCAGGGTAATCCTGCCCCGCTCTTTGTTCACTGCCTACTCGACTTGGAGAAAACTGCCCTCCAGAACGACTCTTTTTCACACGACATTGGCACAGCCTTTCGGCTGAGGCTCCAACAACTGCAGGTGACATTTGAATCGCTAAGCAGGTCTTTTCCGGATGTTTTTAAAATATCAAAGTTCCTAGCCTATTCGCGCATAGGCCTTGCGTTAGGAGAACTGTCGGATCTGCTCGATCTAGAGAACCAGAAGCCTGTCACACAGTTAGGAAACAAGCGAAACCGCATACCTGTGGGCCACGTACTCAGATTACTCTGTGACAGAAGTCTCGGTTTAGCTGACTACCTGTCATGTATAAAGGATGATCAACGTGTAGTCTACAGCTACGCATCGGAGCAGTACCGAAGCGGTGCTCGAAGCTTCTGGGAACCTGTGACGCCAAGGAAGACGATGGAAACAGCCGAGGAGGCGACCGAAGATCAGACTCTGCCCAGCTCCCAACTCATCCATGCAGGCCTTTTTAAGTACTGGACGGGCAATCAAACCTCTGGACAGAACTCGCCTTTGGGTCCTCAAAACCAGGCACACGAACAGGCATACTTTTGGGTCAACCAAACAAAGAATCTGGTTCAAAAATACAGACAACGGATCACCAGTCTGCAGCGTAAGTTCAACCTTCGAATGCTGACAGAGGTTCCCTTCCAGCTGGTGAATTCCACCGTGGACATTGTGAACACGAACTACGAACTGGCGTTCAAGTTCGACTTTATGTTTGGCTGTTTGGGCAAGGCGAGTCATATGAACGACCTCATGAGTGCGTTATACTTTCTCCGACAACTACCCCAGTTACAAATAAATAGTGAGTTCGACCTACTTCTAAACCTTTTGCGTGGGCTTTCGGAAAAACTCACACGAGAGCCGATGCTTTTAAGCCTTGAAATTTCCGGAAGAATAGGGCATCTGGCAGGCTCCAAATTTATGAATGTCGGTCAGACACTGTTATCCAGTATCGACAACCAGGCCAGCAGCATAAATTGTTTACAGGCCCTGCTACCAGCTGTATACAGTCCGCTTATGCGACCCGAACTGACCCGAGTATGCGTAGACTGCGAAGAAAAGGAATTTTTGTCAACAATATCTCCGGATAATCGGTTTTTGGTTACAGTCGTGAATGATTCGTTTGATGAAGAAGACCAGCAAGAACTCGTAGAGCGAGCGAATGACGAGCGCAGACTGAGCAAACACACAGCTGCTGTTCGCAATCAGTCTGTTATCATCTGGGACGTGAGGAACCTTACAAAAGTACAGACATTTTCAATTGGTAAATGGCCTATGTACACTTTTCGGGAAATAAAATATCCACCCGGTCAGGAGGAGTACATACTTGTAAAGTGCACACAGACTGACGAGAATGAGAAGAGGCTCTCTGGTCTGATTGCCATAAACATTAACCGGGAATCTGTGGAGGAAACTTATTTTGCACCGGAGGGGACAGAGGTGCGAATAGTCAGTATTTCAAAGTCAAAAATCATGCTAATCGCCGAGGCGTTGAAAAATGAGGAAAAACCATTCATTAAGGTCTTGAGCATCCCACATTTCCACGTAATTTCACCCTATCTGAAAAGAGTCCCGTCACCCTGCTTGATTGTAAACGCAGAGCGCTACATCATCGGCCCCGCTTCGTGGCTCAGTGAAAATTCTAAGAAGGCGGACGTCAACCAGCCGCTATCAACTTGTCTTCAAATACGACCAATCAGTTCCCCACGGGAGCCGGTGTGCCGACTGGACTGCCCAGGGGTGCCTCAGTGTCTTGCTTCTGGACCGAAGGGCGATACGGTGTTTGTTGGAATGCAAACCAGAGGCAGCGTCTGTCGCTTCGATTTAAATCAGGTAAAACCTCTGCTTTGCACCTTTCCACACCTTT